ATGTTATCCATAGTACAGTAATGCTCTGTATTGTACAAAGAAGATTAGAGAGACTTATGAAGAAAAAGATCAAAGAATGAGAGAGAGAGAGAGAGTTTTTAGAGAGAGAAAGAAATCTTTGCATAAATTTTCCTTAATGAATCTGATTAATACAATCACCCTTATATCTTGTGTAAGATTCTGTTACATTTTATCCTTATCTTCTAAATCCATACAACTTAGACAAACTAACTAACCAACTCTTGTAATCTAGCCTTTCACACATTGATCAATGTCACAATCCTAATGACTTGAGTATATACTCTAAAGAAATCTTTGCATATATTTTCCTTAATGAATCTGATCAATACAATCACCCATATATCTTGTGTAAGATTCTGTTACATTTTATCCTTATCTTCTAAATCCATATAACTTGGACTAACTAACTAACCAACCAACTCTTGTAATCTAGCCTTTCACACGTTGACAGATGTCACAATCCTAATGACTTGAGTATATACTCTAACAATGCCAAGGGAATTCTCTCAAAAGTGGAACTCTTTGACACCTTATGTTTTTTACACAATATTTTATAATGTTGACTAGGAATTGAAGTTAAACTGTGAGTTGGTAAAGAGTTTTTGAAAAATCCTACTTTTGAGAGAGCCCCTTAGCATTTCTCAAACGAAAATTGTCATTGATTCTCCGAAAATGTCATCCGCACTACTTCAAGTGAAATTTTTACCCTTGTATCTTTACACTGGAGGACTGCCAGATTTTTTTTAGAGTGTTAATAACGACTCCGAAAGCAATCAATAAACAAACCATGACGAGGATACGTTAGGCAGATTGAGAGGTTTAATTAGTACATATAAACGAGAATGCACATATGTGTTTGATTCAGTGGCAGAGCTTCCTGATAAAGTAAGCAGAGCTGTTGGGCCTGAGGTTTGAGCAAGAATGTTGCATTTTGATGCCAAGATCAACGGTCAAGATGGAATTGAGGGACTGTAGTCACAAGTAACAATAGGGAGGTTACGTTTTATATAAGGGCATTGAGAGACGAAGCAGCAGAAGAAATGGGCCTTTCATTTGCGGGTTCCAATGTTGGGCTTTTTCTCCTCCCAATTGGTTGGTGGAAGTGGGGCAAACACACAAACAGAACAGATTCTCGAATAGCTTGAAAAAATAAAAAATAAAAAGCGCCTGCGAGTGGTGTGTAATTTATATAAAATTATCACAAATGACTTTAAGGCTCATCTGAAAATGCTTTTAAAATGACAAGTGTTTTTGGTGATAAATGTTTTTGAATCCAATCATTAGTAAATATCCGAGTGGATCCTAAAAAGACATTTTAAATGCTTTCTGCAAGAAGCACATATCTGGTACTTCTTTCAAAAAACACTTAAAAGTGCTTTTGGAACCAAAAATCAATTTCACAAAAGGGCTTTTAGTCACTTTAAAAGCACTTCCAAACAAGCCTTTAGTTTTATGAAAAATCGTATAAACATACACGCATATTAATACGAATCTCCGATCCTGTGGATTAAAGTAATTAATAAAAATATTGCCTGGTAAAAGAAAACAAACTCGTGCAACTGAAAGATCTATTGCTAGTGGAAGTGGAGGCAGATGTAAGATCACGGTCACCAAACAAACCATTTTCTATATTCAAGACTCGATAGTGCATGAGAAAGCATACCCATTCTCTTCAGATTCCATTGTCCAAAAAATTTGTCACCTACCGTTAACTTGTGGGTGACCACAATTTTCTTGGACCATGAAGTCTAGAAGAACAAGACTCGAGGCGAAATAACAAGTTTTCGAATAACAACCCCAAGTCCTTGGGAGAAGAAATCACGGTGCTGTTATTCAGAGAGTGCATCGGAAGCTAACACATCTAGGGCACGAGGAAACCAGCAAAATGCTAACTTAGATACAGCGTCCAGCAAACTACAGCAATACCAAATCCACAAGGTTCAACATAAAACAAACAGCATATCCAGTTAAAACAGTTGTTGTGATAAAACCGCAAACTCAGAACCTGAATGGAACATTCAGACAATCAAGAGAACAAGAACGATGAACACAAACAATTCACTACGAAGGAAATGAAAATCATATTTGGCCACAGAAATTTCCATCGTTAAAACATAAGCATCGTAAGGGAAAAGGGAAACAAAAAGTGCATAAAATGCTGACAAAATTGTCTCTAAATCAAAATGTCGAAGTAGCACAACAGATAAAACATTTTATAACAAACTTAAGATCTTGGCTTCTCCTTCTTCTCCTTAAAGAGGGCCAGAAGGGACACACCTGAAACCTTCACGACCTTGAACCTAACTCCAGGAATATCACCAACAGCATGACCTTTACGACCAAATCCAGCAATCAGAACCTCGTCCTGCAAGCGGCCACAATAATCAGTACAATCCAAAAAACTTAAAATACCAAGGGCAGCATTTAACATAAATGCCATATTCTGGCAACACAGTTATTCTCCACTATACTCACATTTTCCTCAATGTAGTTCAAGCAACCATCGTTTGGCACAAAGGCAGCGATCTTCTTTCCGTTCTTAATAAGCTGAACTCGGGCACACTTTCTAATGGCAGAGTTAGGCTGCTTAGCTTCAATACCACTGCATAATTAAACATCCAAATATCGTAAAATCCATGTCTAAAATGGATTGGTTAAAATTTTTAATGGAAAAGGCATCTAGCTAAATTTTACTTACATTTTCTCAAGAACGATGCCCTTTGCATGGGAAGATCCAGAAAATGGTTTCTTCCACTCATTTCCAAGATGGGACTTCTTGTAAGACTTGTCAGCCCACCTTTGGTTCCTGCGGTGGGTCTTCAGCTTGCGAGCTGCTCCCATTCCACGTGTCTTCCTGTAAAAATTTGGCAGCAGGGTTAAGGCATTTTTTTTATCTTACAACAACTTATAATCTATAACAATCACATCCAACCAAAAGCTACTTCACATGAATACTGTATAATGCTTGATTGTTTTCTTGCAATCTAATAGCCAGTAAGTGATGGCATCCAGGCACAAATTCAAGCTCACTGAATACATTCGTTTTGAAGACAAGTTGTAGCGGGACACATGTTCATCAAAACCGAAGATCAATATTTCGATAAATGCATTCAACTGACAAACTTTCGATAAAAAGTTATAACCTTCGATACATCATAAAAATGAAATATTTCCGAATAAATCTTCTTGACTGTAATTTGGTCTTTGACCTAACTCATCATAAAGTGTATAGAACTTCCATCTTTATTACCACCAAAACACTTCCTGGAAAAATCCACGAAAAAAAAAAAAAGCTCTTCCTCCAAACAAAAGTATTCCAACTTATAAACATATCCCATGAAAACATTAAGAACTTAATCGAAATCATCTTAGCAGTATGAACATATGCACTTATGCAGTCGATAATCGGATCCAAACAGGAGCGTAATAATTTCCATTAAATAATACAATTTGAGTCGCAAAAGAATCAATCTTCTCCATAATCTACTTCGTCCAACTAAAGTTTACAAATTTACAGAGATTTAGAGCAGATTTTAAGCGAGAAATTCAATCGAGAAAATAGTTTCAGAGGAAACAAACAGAGAGCGAAGAGTGGAAAGATTTGACGAAGGAAGTAGAAGCTTACCCCATGGCGACGTAACAAGAAGAAAGTGGGCGATTCGCAGGGAGAGATTTGGAGCCGCAGGAAGAATAGCTTCAAGCCTTCAAGGTCGCTAACAGCAATGAGAAACCCTAGGGGCTTATCGCGCTTTCTTTAAATATACGCCTTCTCTTTGGGCTTACAAGTTTGACATAAAATATTTTTTCAATGTCAATGGGCCGTCGTAAGGAACCTAAAAAGGGCCCACTATGTTTTAAACCATCCTCACAATTTTTTTTAACAAACGGCATTGTGAGATATTAGGTTAAGCCTCATAATGAACTAGTAATAATATGGTTAAAATTCTCCTTTGGCTAGAATCGAACCTAAAACCTCTCACTTACAAGTGCAATCATAGTCACTTCAGCATGTGTGATTTATTACTCCTAATTATGCACCTGAATTCGAATTCTCTTTCTTAATCTTAGATTATGAGATATTTCAAAACCAAAAAGAAATAAAAAAATGCGTATGTGAGGAGTATTCTTACTAACTTTTAAGAAAGTTTAAAGGCACATGTGAAACTGTGGTTTATCTGTACAAATGAATGAGTTATTGCACGTAAGGAGCCAAACGTTTTCCGATAAGAATCAACAAATTTGAATCAATTATTTTGTAAATACTACATTATAAAGGATTTGGTTCTCGCAATATTTTGTGTTTCAGAATTAACAAAATGGTTGAGTTATATAAAGCACTTTCTTTTATGTATGAAGTTCAACTAAGGTGTTTGCTATTTGGTGTGCCCCGGAACATACATTTGGTGTGTAATAATGATGTGCAAAATTGGGAAATTCCATAGTTTCGTATACAAGTAATACTGACTACTAAGAGAGGGGTACATGAACCCAACTTCAAGTCGAAAGATAAAACTCTTATCCACCTGAGCTATAAGCTCTTACCAAAGATTATCTAGTTTTTAAATTGCCAAACTAATATTAACGGGACATTCAATATCTTTTTTTTTGGTAGGCAATAGTGTTAGTAGGTTAAATCGTCACATGTTAGAGGGGATGGAGACTAATTGGAACCACATCCATACCAAGATGCATAGGCAGTACTACGTTTCGTCACTGCTATAAAAACACCATCTACTTGTTAGTATTTTGGTTTAGCATAGGAATAGTCCCAATTTTATATTTTTTCCCCCAAATATTAGCGAGACTCTAAGATGACGGCGTCTCAGATTAATTTGTGGAGTGCCATGTTAAAACTCGTGGCGTATCATTGGTAGGAAGTTGGGATCCTCGGTTAATTGGGCAAACTCAAATACTTACAAACAGGAAATTTCCATTCAACAATTAACAGAGGAACTAAGCAAACAGAAGCTCAAAAAGGATAGAAAAGAGCAGGACAACTAACCCACATATTTTCCCAAGTATATATTGTCTCACATAACAGTAAATCTTGTCCTTAACCAATACGTGCAGATATTCCTTCCATCACTCATGTCAGCAACGCTCAATACTTGGATAACACATCTAAATTTATCAGTTTAATATTCCGGGGTAAAAGAAAATGAACCAGAATATTTCTGCAATGCAGCCACTGCACCAGTAATGGAAGCTAAGAAGATTGCCAATTAAACAAACCAGATTAGCCGTACCACGAAAACCATATTTCTGTCAAAAGAAACACAGAAAGGTAGTTAGAAATGAAGAGGAAGAACTATACTTGCAAGGTTGAAAATCACATATAGTTGATGGATGGATCAAGTTATCAACCTACCGAGGAGCATTTTTATTTCTGTGGCTTTTTCCAAAAGACCCCAATCTTCTTCAGCATGTTCCCATTTTTCTTCTTCAGTAAATCATCATCCATATCTTCAGAGTCAGGCGAGCCAAACTTCCCGGTGACATGATTATAGCTGCTGTCCAGTGATCCAGTTCTCTCCATCAGCTTGCCGTTATTTCCTGATGAAAGCATGGTAGCAGCTGCCTCCGCTGCCTTCCTCCACTGGTTGGACTGCACCTTTAACCTTCTTAGCTTCCGCCTCCATTTCTGCATTGGCTGCCTGTGCTGCCTCCAGCTGTTCCGCCACTCTTGCTACCTTCTTGCTGCTCTTGTCTGCCTCTTCCATCACAATGCCAAGCTTCACGAGAGCCTCTCGCTCTGCGCACTTTGCAGCCTCTACTTCTGCCTCTACCTTATCGTTAGCTTTACTTTGGCTTTTGTTGATTTCCAACCTCAGTGTTTCATTCTCTTCTGAAATACTCTGCAGTTCCGTTTCCTTGTCCATCAAATAAGCCTTTAAATCCGTAACATGCCCTTTTAGTTCTTTCAATTCCTTTTCCAGTTCATACTCTCTCTGGCATGACAGGCTCTTATCAAGCTTCGAATTGAGCCCCTCATTCTCCTCTGTAATGCCTTGTAATTCAGTTTCCTTGTCCATCAGGTGGGCCTTCAACTCTTCAACTTCAGCTTTGGTTTTCGTCAATAACGCTTCCAGTTCCCCCTCTCTGTGACTAGATGCAGATTTTATCTGCTCCACCAGTTCATGAGCACTTCTTAGCTGCACAGTGCTCTGAATTTGTTCTTCATGGTATTTGGTCTCAGCAGTTTCAAGACTAGATCTTAGCCGTGCCACTTCGGACTTCAAGTCATGAAGTTCTGCCTCATTCTGGTTTGGCTCCATAGTCTCTTGCTTTTCTTCAAATTTTTGCTGAAGCTCATTGTTACCAGCCTGATTTTGTGAAACGTTGCTGCTTGCATTAATCAGGTCAGCCTTGAGTTTGCTAACAAGTTCTTCTAGTAAATTTACACGTGCCCTTGACTGATCTAACTCTGAAGCAATGGATTTGTAAGCTTCTGTCGATTTCATGCCATCGAACCTGAGTGCCTCCATTGTTGTTCTCGCGGACTCCAGCTGCAGTAGGGTTTCACTAACCATTGCTTGTGCTTGAGCTTCGGACTCCTTACAGTCCTTTAATTGTGTTTTCATGTTCTCCACAAGAGAAAGTGTTTCAGCCAAGTTTTCTTTCAAGATTTGAAGCTCACCATTTGTTGATTCTGCATGCTTTATCTGATCAGCCTCAGATGCAGCCACCACTTCAAGCTGCGCCTTAAGCCTCTCAATCTCATCAACAGCAGATGCCAAGGCAGCTGAGTCAACTGAGTGCTGCTTCTGCACAGTCTCAAGCTCGGACTGCCATGCTTGGTCTCTTTCCTGTGAAATCTTGTGGAGCTTGATAACACGAGCTTCCTCAGAAATAGAAAGCTCAGGAAGCAGCAGCTGGGATTCTTCGAGCTTTGAGGACAAGGCCAGTACTTGCTTCTTGGACTCCTCGGCATCTTGCTGAGCTTGCTTCTTGCATGATTCACAAGATTGCAGCTCGTTCTTTGCTTTCTTCAGATCCTCTTGGAGCCGAGAAATCTGAGATTCCAACTCGGATATTCTACTTGGGCCCTTCTTCTGCGTCAAGGACAGAGATTAAGTTTTAGAATTTTTTGTATCTCAAGAAAGACATAGACAATGCACGCAACACAAGCATTTTTACTTGCAAATCCCACCACAGCCAAAAAAATTACCCAATTGAAGGTAATTTTTCGGAAAGACAAAGATAAAGAAAACTACTGAGGCCAGGCTAATGTGTCGAATTGTGATGGAGAACTTTAAGATGGAAACAAAATTTCCACCCAAGGGTTTAGAGTTTAGACTATCCACACTTCACACTCCAGTGGTTATATAATTCTATAGGTTGTGAAAGAGTAGAAGGACTCGTGGAGTTTGTTTATAAGTACCTCAAACACTGGAGTTCTGGGTGACCGACGCTCAGTGACTTTTGGGCTTCTATCTTTAGTTGCTCTTTTAGCTTGACTTGAAGTACATGCAGAGTCAGTAGTCTCCAATGCAGTTGGCCTGAGTTGGCGAGCAACTCGAGGGGAGACCTTTTGGAAGGAGAGACCTTTGAGGAGAAACCCTTTGAGGAGGAGAAACCCTTTGAGGCACTTCAGAGGAGCCACTTCTATAAAAAAATAAAAAAAAATATCAGTCAAATATTATCACTTAAAATGGCAACAGAAATTCTCAGCTTCAGATCCTATAAAAGCAGTCCGGAGTTTCTGTCATTTGTCCAACAAATATACCGTCCTTATAACTTCCTTTTTTTGGCTTCGAAACGTTTTAATTCTATATTCTATCCAGTTTGAATTACAGCAAAAACTCGCATTCTATCTTTCCATTAAAAAAATCTCAAAGTTTAAGAATCCTAATTTTTGAAATGGAAAATGCCAATGTCCTTGAGTAATAATCACACATTACACAGAACAATTTACACAAACCGAGACGAAGAAAAACACATAAACTTTGTTGCACACTTCTTTGAACTGTCAAGAAAAATTTCCCTGCAACGACCACAGAGAATGGTGGGGAAAATTACAAAAATTTTGTGATGAGATTTATTGGCTACCAGGAAAGTTTAATTTTGAGTTTGCCAATTGATGACAAATAAATGCAACATGGTGACATGATTTCCCTTCATTAGCTAAGATGTTTAAAATAATGATACTGATAGCATGTAATGATAATATTCTTTTCCCATGTTGAACGAAAAATCAAAGACAGCAAGCAAACAAATTTCACAACAAATCAATCCTTAATCTAATGCGCGGATGAGTTTATGCAACTAAAGTCGGTTAATTGGTTCAAGGGGAGCCCTTTACGCTCCTTCGATAGCTCCAGTAGTTCCTGAATGCTGCTGTGTAGCTGCCAAGAGGCCCCAAAATTACCTCAAAGGAAGGAGACAAGAAGTTGCCAAATATTTATGATGATGCAGATAGACAAATATCACTACCAAGGGCCTTACCACAGAACTGGTCCACTACTGTCAGCGGTGGAAGCGCACGAATTGATTGGTACATGAAATACAACTACAAGTCTGACATCCACAGAAATAGGACAACCCCTAAACCAGATGTAAGAACTTGAATTTATTTGAACAAAAACGAGCAGCTGCTATGACATCGGTTTTGCAGCATTGGTGAGCATTAGTACTACTACTCTCTTTAGGTTATACACAGCAATACAGAAAAGTACGCAACATTATAGAACAACGTTACCTTTTGCCTCAAAAAAAAAAAAAACCAAAACAACGCTGCATTCGAACAAGCAAACACACGAACAAGCTTTTAAAGAGGAGAACAAGATGCCAATCACATAAAAGGGCACGTGAAAGTTACCTTGCTTTAGGGGTCTGCATAATGCAACTGCCTTTTCTAGCAGCAAAAGTTGCGAACGAGACGGAACTGATTTATGCTTCGCTACTTGAATGCCCTCGACCCACCAAGACCTGAAACAGTTGAAGCAAGATCACAAGCCGGGACCAGGGGGAATCCAATGTCTTAAATGTTCAAAGAAATAAATTGGTTTCATGAGGGACATGTGCTCCTTATCATTCGCACAGAATGACATTATGGCAAAAATGTGCCAACTACAAATCCAACCAACCATTTTCTTCCAACCCAAAAAAGAAAAAGCGAAAAAAGCATTTCAAAAACCCAATTAAATGCTTGGTACCAAGTTGCAAGTGGTGGACTGCTTCAAACCGCTACGTCCGGAGTTTCGGGTTCAAACCCTCCTCCTCCCCTTTAGCGTAGCTTATAGTAGTAATATCACTCGTAACTAAAAGCTAAATGTTGTACCAATTGCCTTCAAACCCTCCTCTCTCCTTTAGTGTAGCTTATAGTAGTAATATCACTCGTAACTAAAAATCAAATCACGTACCAACTAACAAGTCCCACAGGTTTCTAATCGTGCTCATGATCCATCATTGTAAGCACTGCTAGCCAGTCATGATTACAGGAATACCCCTAACATTTGTTAGTTTTGTTTCGGAACAAGGGTAGTTTCGGATGCGAGAGAAAACTAAAAAGAAAGTTGCCTCCTCCAGTTTTGCCGTGAAATGAGGGGACTAGTTCGAAGTGATGAACACAAAATAGTTATCTTTTCTCAAAGATTGTCTGTTGCTTTTTTTTTTTTTTTTTTTAACAAAACATTATTTTCTCGGAAGGCATCATTTTTTTTCCCGAGAAACAACAAACAGAAACAGATCCAAAGACAACGTAAACCCAAAAAATAAAATATAATACGGAATCAGAATCTGCAGAAAAAAGCAAGTAATGCAGCTAAACAAAATTGAAGAGGAAAAGCGAAAGTTGAAACTTGATTGTATAGAACAACTTTTTGAGATTCGACTTTGCTTTTTTCAAGCCGGAAAAAGACAAAGAAAAGCCTGCAAATGTCGAAGCACTTGAGCAAGAAAAAGAGAAGCTGCTGCATTGCGTTGTTATCACTCAGCTAAGGAGCTTCTTTTTATGCTCAGAATTCATCCGAAAAGAAGATAAAAAGAAACATCATTACCCTTGAGACTACAAAAATATTTTTTTCTTAAAAAAAAAAAAAACCAGTAGAATATGAAGATAAACAACTCCAAAAATCTCTGTTTGGTTGCTGAGAAAATGTGAGAAAAGAAAAAGAAAGAGAACCCCATTTTTGAAAACAGAAAACCCATTAAACATCAGACAACAAAATGCTGAAAAATGCACAAAGAAATGGGATTTGTTCCTCTGTTTTCTCCACATTTTCACAGCAGACAAAAGAGAGCAGATTAAATGAGAGAATACCAAAAAACATGAAAAATGGACTTACCTGGTGAGCTTGTGGGAGAGGATGAAGTATATTTTGATAATGCAGAGAAGTGATGAGTGTGAAAACTGTTCACTTTCTTCCTTTGTTTTTCTAGCTTTGGTGTTGCAGTTTCCGAGGCTTTCTATCTCTAAATTTTTGGATATTTTGTGCCTTGTGCCTTGGAGATTTTGGAGGTGGAGGGAGTGGACTGTTTACCCTGTTTTTGAGTGAGAGAGAGAGAGAGAGAGAGAGAGAGAGAGAGAGAGAGTGAGGGAGAGAGAGAGAGGAGAGGGAGAGGGAGAGAAATGTAAAGTTACAAAGCAGAGAAAACAGAGGACATATTTGTCGTTTCATGAGATAAGGATCATAAAACTGGATTTGATTCCAGCTTTACGTCCGAAGTTGGATATATTATCCGTCTCGAGTGTTTCAAACTTCTATGACCATTTGGCCTTAAAAAGATCAAATTTATGTGTAATAATTCTGTATTATTATGTTGTATATCATTTGACGTATTATAATATAAGTAATTAAAAAATTTAGTATGTAATTATTGTCATGTATTTGTGCTACAAGCACATAAAAAATTCTCTTTAAAGCCAAAAAAAACTTTCATAACACATATACACGACATATTGACGGTATATTTTGTAATAATATATCACTATAAAAGACCAAAAAGTTTATACTAGCTACATGTGCATTTATGGAGTAGGTCCGAGAAATGGGGAAAAAAATCAGAGAGATGCTGGAAAAGACGAAGAATATGAACAAGAAATTATTCTTTATTTTTTGTTGGTTCTACAACATTTCAAAACTTAAAAGGACAAAAATTATGAGATCTTAGATGTGTTAGATTCTGTTAACCAAAAACAAAAGGGTGTATAATTGTAGTAGTCATTTTTCGTTTCTTTTTTATCAGAAAGTAAGGAGATCGCGATGAGAGATAAACTCACTTAACGACGGACACAGAGTTTTGGTCACTAGGTAATGACCAAACCAAAGGATGAGCGAAAGTATATGAAAAGGAAAAGAGTAGAAGGCTAATAGAGAGTTGCTAATCAAACTTAGCATGAAGTTTGTTGCTGGTTATACAGTTGACGACTAACTGTGGATGTCAAAAATTGTTTTGAGCAGAGATTAAACCAACAACGCAATGTGTTTTCATGGTTCATCATTGGTTCGATTTGATGTGAAACCAACAACGCCAAGAAACCTTAAGCCTTAGGTTGCTCTTTTTCTCAACAACAATTATTGAAGTTGATAAAGTTTTCAAATTTAGCATAGTCTACCACCAACATCACCGATGTTGTCCTCACTTTAAGGGCAGAGCCATGAAGGGACCAAATGGTCTTGGGTCTACTCTGACCTCTTCTTCACACAAAACAATTTAGAGTTATCACTCTGATTTCCAAAGATTTTCATAGTATTAGAGCCCCAACCATAATATTTTCCTTATTTTCTTCACTGAGTTCAATTTGAGGTTGGTGGCTCATGTGTAGGTTAAGCGACACCACTATGAGTTTTGAGGGACTCAAGCGGTTAGAGGGAGAGAGATGAAGTAGGCGAGAGGGCTAGTTTTTATCTTTATTTTTGCTTTATCCTTTTATTTTAGGAAGTGTTATTGGCACTCCAAAAATCTCATTATACACTCTTCATTAGTGTATTTTTCTTTCTAATATAGAAAGTTTGGAGTGTAGAATGAGAATTTTGGAGTGCCAATAACAACTTCCTTATTTTATTCCTTGAAATAGATTAATACCATTGTTTTTGCTTTTATCTATCCCCTCTTTCCCTCCTTCTTCTGCTTAAGAGGACTTTTATTTTGAATCTAAGTCATGATACTAGGCATGAGGCTTGAGTTGAGGAAGAGGATGACAATAATGACGTCATACCAAACCCAAATGATGGCGGTTGGTAACTTAGGTCACGGAAAACCTTTATTTTTCTTAGATTAGGAGAGCGTTTTAGCGTGAGACTTTTAAGCCCCTCGTGATGTATAACTCTGGCTTCACCACTACCTCGCGTAACCACTTATGACCTATTGCTAGGTATGCAGTTTTATCATAAAAACCTTAGTGATATTAGAAGTAGAACTCTCACATATAAATTGTATATTATTTTTGTATTTCTCGATGGGGAACTGTATAAATATTACTCTCTCCTTTTCTCCTCCATTTTGGCTTGACAAACATGCATATCAAACACATCTTATTTAGGGGTGTGCTATCCACATACCCCATTTTACTTCTCACACACCCCTTGATAATTTATGTCCGTTGATGTTCTTGAATTCATTTAATCCGACGGTCGAAAATTAAAAAGCTGTGTGAGAAGTAAAATGAGGTGTGTGGATATCACACCCCCTTATTTAAACTCTGTACTATTTGCCATGGTCCATAGGAAATTGAATTTATTGATCATCTATTTAAAAGAATGTGATGTTCTTCACAATGTGATTTGCATTCATTATTCAGGTTGGTTGGGTGTGTTGTTGGTGGCTACCAACTCAGTCTCTGAAGGCCTCCATCGCCTATCCTCCATGCCAAATTGTATTTTTTTTTTACTTGGCATTTATGGAAAGCATTGCAATCCATCCCATTCTATTCAGAAAATCATGATGTGGTCCTAGTGGAATCATTATGGGCAATATTGGTTTGGCCACTAGAAAGCATTTATCCGGATTTAAAATTACTTGGAATCCTTGATCAAAAAAATAAAAGATAAAATTACTTGGAATCTTGTAGGACAATTTTTTTAATGTACAAATGGAAATACGGAAGACATGAAGTACTTTGAGTTCATGGAAGATTTGACGTAAAATTGAATACAGATGCGTTATAGATTCATACAGACCCCACTTAGTGAGATAAGACTTTATTGTTGTTTTGTACAAATGGAAATAGAGATCTATGAAACGATTTTACCATGACCATAATTTTTCAGGCAATTAATATAAAACCATGTACTATATTAGTGGTTCAAAACGCCACAATAACATTAAACACAATGACATTAAACCCTGTTTCATCATTCATTTTCCTGCAAATAAGATTTTAGTAAATAACCAAATGCATCTTGGGTGGTTAAAGTTTGTAAACTTTTCAACTTGTTTTATAATATGAACGGTTCAATTATAAACATAAAGTTATCTACATCAGTCATGTACTGAATTGAGGAGAAACTCCTCTTCGTTCATTGAGGAGCCAAGTTAATTCTAGTGGTTACCACAATATTGCTAGAAAACATTTGGCACGTAACTCCGGATCAGTTGTTAAAGGTTGTGTTACAACATGTATTTTGGGAACTTTAACGAAAAGCTCCCGGTACTGTTCACTTTAACGAACAACCACATTTTTACACTAAAAAGTGAATCCTGATACTATTCACTTTACCCTTTATCTTGTCCTTATCGTTAAAACTCAAAGTTTTCAAACCATTTTCATTAGTTTTTCTTTTTTTTTAATTGTTTTAGCATGGTTATTTACTTGCTACTCATTGCGTTACATGGAGATTCTTGTAGGGATTGTTCATGAAATTAGAATATCTGTCTGCTCAAATATAACATCTTGAAATCAAAACATGTTAATAGGGAAACCATTTTTAGCTAGACATTGTTGACAATTGGTACTGGTCATGACATTTTTTTCCTTTCATTCTAGCATGGTAATTTTGAGACAACATATCTTGTAACTGGATGTGTACACATTTGTCTTGTCACTATTCATAGTGCGAGTGACTCTAATGTTATAGAAATAATGGTGCATAAATCTAGAAACACCAAAAAATTAATTGTGCGCACCATTCTATCATGACATGTTTAATTATTTGAAATCGAAGAAGTTGTGAATCAAAATGATACTTGGTTTAAAATAAACCACCCGCTTGATGATTTGATACCTAATTGTTTATGGATACAGATTTTCTTTTTCTTTTTATTCTTTAGATGTTAGTGAACATATGATATTTCATGAATTCAAATGATGGACAAGTATGGATAATTATCCAACTTGTAAAGGTGATTTTAAACTAGTCTCAACCCTTTAAAATATTTTAATTAACTACCTAATGTTTTAAAAATTAGACATTGTTTTTGGAGCTTTACTAGCTGTCATCATCTTTGGAGCTGTTTCTAGTATTAAATGATGAGGTAAACAAATACTAAAGTTGGTATGTACTAGTTGTCATCTTTGGAGCTCTAATTCCTTAAATTGACTCCTTTTAGTCAAGTTAAGCTGTAAATTTGCTTAGCTAAATTGCATCGACTTGGAGATTCAAAACTCCACAGATGACTTGAGAGTAAAAACCTGGTTTAATAATTGTTCACATCATCATTTAACGCTAATGGATCTGACATATGTCCACCATTTAAAACGCTAGGTAGTCATTAAAGATGTTTTAAAATGTTAGGGATCACCCTAAAAAGTTAAGTAGTTACCTAGACTTAACCCTAAAATAATATTCCTACCTTGCATATCCATTCTTAATTAGAATGCAAATCATAAATACAAACACTTTTTTCTCTTCATGCACACTCCTCTTTAGTTTTTACTATCATGAATAAATGAAGGAGAAGTAACGAACATGTAGATGACGTTTAATAGTAGTGGTAGAAAACATTGATGCTTATGTACCCTAATGCAAATTCGATTCTCACTGATTCTCCTTGTTTTTAACAACTAACAATTTACCGTGCTAATACTATCGTTTATTAGAGAAAAATGAAGTAAAGAAGTGCAAAATGCACAAAAGAGTACTAATTTTTAATAAATAAACATGTCATTATTGGTTTGGGTCTAATTGAGAATAGGAATCAGTGGACTGTACCTAACAAAGAAAATCAAAGATTTTTAACTGTGGGCTTCGGCTCCCGTTTCTCTTGTTGGGTTTTCTTTGGGTGGCCTTTCAGCCTAACTGGAGTGCTTTCTTTACTGCTGCTGCTTACCGGTGTGTTTTCTCAGTGGGCCTTTCTATTTTCAGATATAATTAATTAGCATCGAACTTGTTATCAGCAAAATATGTCAAAATCTTTCACGTATAAGTACAAAAGAATGGCACTATATTGCAGTTTTTAATGGAGCTCCTTAGGAATAAGTCCTCAATAGTTGAACTACTTGATAGTCCAACTTTGTATCTATTAAATTACGTAAGCGAAAATAATATTTTCTCAATACGATACAACCGTTTATTTCTTATACGAGTGAGTATGGAAAAAAATAATAGAGCTTGTTGACATGCTTTTGTTACATGGGCATCTGTGCCTTGTCCTCTTTGGTCTTTTACTTGACTTTTCAATGGAGTTGAATTTCCACCGACCTTCATAAGAATTCCAAATTGTCACATTATCTTATAACAATATCATATATTATTATTACGTCCTCTTGATAATCATAGCGTATGTTTATTATATATCTAATTATTTATTATGTGTAATTTTATCTAATTATAGTTAATATTTACATTGAATGTTACCTTTTTAATTTTAGAGAAAATTAATTAAAATTAAGTAAAAAAATACATAGTAAATAATTAATTACATATTAAACATATACCGAAGTTTAAGATGATGAGAAAAAATGCACCGAGCAGATAAGCTTGGAGAGTTTGACCACCAAAGTCCAGGCGAACGTTACCACCGAGGCACCGACCACGTTCTACTTTATTAGGCGGTTTCTCCTCCTTTGCATGTTCCAATTGTAAGTTGTAACGTTCGTCATGGACCCACCACCTTCTTTGCATATCCCATTATCAGCTTCTCTTTTGCTTACTTGTTCTCTACGTTATCACTTTGACTCATGCAAAATTTCCCAGGATTTTCATCCCAAAATATTATTGATTATTCATTATTTATGAGCAAGCTCCGTTGTTTTGTCCACGTTTTCTAGTTGTTGATATAACAAAGATCGCTTGATTTCACGACATTTTTACGCTTCTTTGTCAACAAACAAAAAAAGAAGAATATTTTTACCTTGTGGATTGGTAGAGTATACGAGAATATGTACGACGTATTTTCATTCATGTGTTGAACAAAATTATTATTGAGATCAATGATACACGCACGATTTTAATGAAAGGATGAATTTCGTACTGTTAGGTCCCATCAAGATGTATTTTTGCACCATGTAAAAAATATTTTAATTTGAGCAATAATTATGTAATATAATCACACCTACGCATAACAACTGATTTTTGTGATAGAGTTTGTGTCGTACACTGTGAACGTCATATAATTGTCCTAATGTCAAACAGTTAAATTGCAATTAAAAAAAGAATAATGTTTTTCATCTATTTATTTTTACTTCTCACATGCTTTGTTAATTTTTTATTATTTATTTTTTTCAATTCATTCGATCTGATTGTCAAAAGTTAAGAATGACGTGTGAAAAATAAAAATAGGTGTGTAATCACGTTTCAAAAAATGCATCGTAAAATCTAGCGGTCAACAATTCTTATGGAATCAAACCGCAATCTATAAAGGCTTTCCTCGAATTACATGAAGTTGGCAACTTGGAGCTTGATGAACAAGGCATGCCCTAAAAAGTCATCCTCGTGTATTTTCAAATTCTTTGTTTTTTTTTTTTTTTGGCTGAATAAAATTTGAAGGTCATTGTCAAAACTCAACAGTTAACTAAATTAATTAAGTCATATATTGCAAATCAATATCTTCACTCAATTACCACAAGCAACCCACATAGTCAAACAGTAGATCCTCCAGTAGGCAACTACTTTCACAGTATATTCAATTGGGGTACTCTGCAATCAAGCATTGGTTTTCCCATTCTGCCCCCAAACACCATTATTTTTGTTATGTCACGAGTTCCGCAAGTGTTCACGAGTCCAAACCATGGACCGATATTGTCACACTTTAATCTCTATTTTTTTTTATTCAAAAATGGGTATCAGCGAGTGGTTTTGCACGGTAATTTATTTTTTTTGGAAGTTGGAAAGATTTACAGAGATATTTCATCCTCTACATGACCATCATTGAGTAATTCACAATGTTAGGAATCGAACCCAATACATACCGTGTAGAATACGAGTTTAGAATTCGTCTCAACCACTGGGCCATCCTGTGGTGGTGATTTCACACTTTAACTACTTAGGTCTGATATACTTAGTAAAATGAGGCCAAATGAATTTTAGGTGAAAAGTTTCATCTCACAAGATTTTGGTGCAATTAGTAGTGGAGATTATATACTTTTATGACATGTTGACTTACAAGATGAAAATGAATAATGATGAGAAGAGCCGAGTCTAGATAAAAAGAAAATCCATTAGTTATTTCATACCTTCATTTTTAATTGCGATTAATCAAAATCAATGAGAGTCACATCCTTTTTCATTTCATTAATTGCTAACAAACGTATGAATATAAACAATATTATTTACAAATCTATTTTCTAAGACCATCTTCAATCTTTGGGCTAAAACTTAAAATTTTTAGCCTAGAAAATTTAGGTTTTAGCCCAGAAACAGTTTTTCTGCTCCAACCCTTCCAGCTTAAATTTTTTAGTCTGAGATTATTAAATAATAAATTTAGGCTAATTTTTTCTTTTAAAGTAAATTTTTATTAAAAAAAAATTATGTACACTATCATAGTTTTATTTTATGAACATTTTAACCTAAAAATATTTAAATTCCGATAAATATTGAAAAATCACTAAATTTGGGTGAATTTTGAGTTAAATAATTTTTTTAACTATTTTAGCCGTTGGATTTAAATTTGGGCTGTTAGATCTTTTTTTTACCGTTAGATTTGATTATATTCAATCTCAGGTGTTCGATTCAATAAATCGTGGGAAACATGCCCATGTGGGTGGGGTCCCTCTGATGGTGCCCACACCATTTTCTAGGCTAAATCCAGGGGGAATTTGACTTTTATTTGGTTTTTAGCTTTTAGCCCACATATTTAGTATGGGTTGGGTTGAATTGGGTTTGGGGGGAATAAAACCTAAAAGATAGCATTTAGCCCAAGATTGGGTTTGGTCTTAAGTAAACTTGTTTTAAAAATGAATTTAAATTACTTAATTTGATAACCAACAACAAAAAGATGCCTGAAAATCAGCTCTCCAGCCAAACTACACCAACACTCTTACACAGCAAGATGACAACACAAAGGTCGTTAGGTAGTTGTACAACCAATAAAAAACAAGGGTAGTCAAGTCATTTCACAAACTTAATACATGTCAGCAACGCAGAGAGAGTACAGCTCACATTTCTCACCCTCACTCAAAACCTAAAAATCCTTATAAAGCTAACGCCACCATACGACCTCATCAAAACTCCAAACTTCAGAAGTACATTCAAAGCACAGCTGCAGCTGATAGAAGAAGAGAAAACCAAATCTCCAAACCTTCCAAAAAGGAAAACAAAACCCAGAAAAAAAAAAGAGTGAAAAAATCATGAGGGCTAGCAACCACTTGATTGGACTACTAAATTTCATAACTTTCCTCCTCTCGATCCCCATCATGGGCGGAGGAATCTGGCTGAGCAGCCGCGCCAACAACACCGACTGCCTCAAGTTCCTCCAATGGCCGCTCATCGTCATAGGGGTCGCAATCATGGTGGTTTCCCTTGCTGGGTTCGCGGGTGCGTGCTACAGGAACACCTTTCTTATGTGGGCGTATCTATTCGTCATGTTCTTCATCATCGCCGCCCTCATCGGCTTCATCATCTTCGCCTACGCCGTCACTGACAAGGGCTCCGGCAGGGCGGAGATGAATAGGGCTTACTTGGATTACCACCTGCAGGACTATTCCGGCTGGCTGGAGGAGCGCGTGGCGGATAATAGCTACTGGGGGAAGATTGCTTCTTGTGTGAGGGACTCAAAAACCTGTAAAAAGATGGGGAGGACTATGAAGGGTGTGCCTGAGACTGCTGACATGTTCTACAACAGAAACCTCAATCCTATCCAGGTATGTGAATTTAGGAACTTTATTTTTATGGTTATGTTCTTATTAGTTGGAGATTTTTCATGCAAATAATAATTTACACTAAATTTATTTAAATTACAAAGAGGTAGTCAAATTTGGGGTCCAAAAGGGGAGCAAATAACCGACTTGACTAAAGTCAAAGCCTGTAATACTTGAAGCTTTAGTACTGTTTGAATGATTATTTGATTTAGTGACACTTAATTTCAAGTTTTGACAGAGAGTAGTTGAATTAAAAAGTTAGGGTTCCATTGCATGGGGCAAGATTATTTCACTTTCGTTTTTAAAGTTGAAGTTGAAGGTGATTAATTTGTGGGTTAGTGGTAGATCTGGTTTAGGATTTAGTGGATTGATGAGATCCTTCAAATTTGGTAGGGAAGTTTATGGCACATGGGCAGATACAATGTGACGGATCATGATCCTCTCCTGAACTAAGGATGAGGATCCTCATGATTAAGGAGTGTGGGCCGTTGGATGAAAATTCAACGGCTACAAACAGAGGGTCATTTTAAAGTTATAATAATTATAACCGTTGGATTTTCATCTAACGGTTCACACTTCTTGATCATGAGGATCCTCATCCTTAGATCAGGAGAGGATCCTGATCCCAATGTGACAACTAGGGGTGGGGTTTGAGGTTGAGTCCTCCATCTTATCATATTATATTCATACCCATTAAACATTAATATATTACGGGATTCTTGTATTGTACCAATGGAAATTTGCCTTTTGTTGGCCATCTTTTGTTTTGGTTTTTTATATTTTTTTGATAATGATGGAAAACCACCAACAAATAGAACAATAGTGCTCCCACCCAGTGTGCTTATCCAATTGGGTAACGTTCAGGATGCCAAAATTTTAAATTAAATTTTGTATATCAAATAATATGGTTGATGATTAGATTACTAATCAATTATTAATTAACGTATTTATTTTTTATTGGTGATATATCATTTGATTTATAAATTTTGTGTAAAAATTTATGCTTCCTAGCATTATCCTATCTAATCATATGATTATGGTAAAAAAACAAAAATCGTGCTTTAAATTGATCAGTGATTGAAATGGCTCATTTTGTGATAATTTTTTTTCTATTTTAAATTTTTCTTTAGACAAAAAAGAATAACATTGTGGTTCTAAGCCCAAATCCATCAATTAAACTTTGGATTATTAAAAATTATTGACATATTAAAGGATTTTTTGATACCACAAAACCCAATGGGGCGTTGACCGTAATCGAGAAATAGCTAATCTCAATAATTGTGTCTCTTGTTTATGCGGTGTAACTTGGAAATGATGTTTACAAGATACAATACTTGTAGCCTTGCAGGGTTTACACTTTATCTTAAGATATTAGGGCTAGTTTGAGATTTATGCGGTAAGATTAAACAATTGTAAAAAAATAAGTGTTTGCTAAATTATAGTGCTTAAAGGGTTTTTGGCAAAATAAAAGACGGAGGTAGGATTGTTAATATAAAAGTTTCATTAATTGGTATTTTTCACTTGCCTCCTAAAAAAACATTTTTTTTAGAAGCATGGTAAAGCTGCTTCTGCTTTATGCTGTTTTACACCCATGATTTTGAAAAGAAAAAAAAAAAACATTTTTCTTCATAAACACACACAATTTTATCCTCAACTTAAAAAAAACACTGCTTAGAAAAATTAAAATAGCCCTAAACCAGACTCTAATAAGACTCATTACAAGAGTAGAAAACATTTTACCGACCAACGGAGAACAAGATTCAAATTTGAGATGTCTATATAATTAGAAAGAGAAATACCACTAAATAAAGAGTTAGACGGTAAAAACCAACTTAACTTAAATTTAAGCAACTCTTTGGGTTTGGGTTATCTTTGTTTTTTTTTTCCCTTCACATTTTAAAAGTTATTTAGGTACTAATTACAACATGGTAGTAGTTGTTTTGTACTTCATTACATGAAGTCAGTGTCCTCAAAATCTTTTAAGAAAGAATGTTCACATGTTCTCTTTTGGGAGTGTTTGGAAATTGGATGGCCTTTTTTGCCTTATCCTAACAGAATTTCTTTTAGGTGGAATTCCCCTTCTCATTTTTTGTCTGGTACACCTTAGAACAAACTTGGAATTGACCTAAAGTTTTCTCCTCCTTTCCCACATCTTTTTTGGAGAGATTTATCAGTGTGTGCCGGAAACACGACCTGGTACACCAAGTGTAATAATACAATTGGTTGGAAATTAAAAAAAAAGAATTCCAACCAATTGTATTGCTAAACTTAGTGTACCGAGCCGTGTTCTCGGCACATTGAAAATTTTCTCTTTTTTTTGGGCTCACTTCCTTTTTTATTTTAATTTTTGTTGTTGTCTATAGGTCCACGTTATCGGCATAAAAAATAAGTTCACAATATTGGTGTAAAGAAGAAAAAGTGTCCAAGTTATTGGTGGAAAGAATTACAATGTTCCAGAAATTATTGCATGCCTTTAGCATGTTCCATACTTTCTTCACATGTTGGACCATCCTGATCCAATTTTAAAATTACAAGGGAATAAATAAATAATTTTCTATAAATAAAGAAATAAAACTTTTCACCCATTACATACTATTTTCCCCAAATTCTGGATTATGCTAATTAAACCAAAATTTAAAAACAAGTGGAACTTTAGTTTAAGCAAGACACCTAATTGTATCGATATGGTGATATCTGATTTAATTTCACATAATCATATTTCATAACAAATAAAAGATATTGGAAACTAGGAAGTTTGTATTCAAGTAAGAAGCGTGTCTCACATTCATGGTTATGTGCTGCTCGCATAATGTAAGAAATGTGAGACACTTATTTCATTCAAAGTTTTTTTTACCGGGGCCTAATTGGTTTCTAAGATCGCTTCCAATTCCAAGACTTTTACCAGTTAACCACAATTAAGCCACCACACGACAGATTTTTATGCGGGGTAATTTAGAAGTATATATATGTTATATGACATTACTTAAGGGTGATCTGTTACACTTGCTCAAGTTAGAATCTGTAGTTATTAGGAGAACATAGGAAAATATGAAGGAAACGTAATTGAAAATCACAGAAAACAGAAACGTTTCTTTCGATATACATGTAATATGTGTGTGTTCGCGCGAGAGTGTATTTGTATTACTATGGTGACTGAAAGACCAATTTTTCCCCCACTTGTTCTACAGTCTGGCTGCTGCAAGCCCCCTACAGAATGTGGCTATAGCTATGTGAACGAGACAGTCTGGACCACCGGAGGAGGATTGGTCGGGACCAATCCGGACTGCACGATGTGGAACAATGACCAAGAGCAACTCTGCTATTCCTGCAACTCTTGCAAAGCTGGTGTCTTGGCCAGCATCAAGAAGAGCTGGAGGAAGGTCTCTGTGATCAACATTGTTGTGTTAATCATCCTAGTTATCTTCTATGTGATAGGTTGTGCAGCATTCCGAAACAACCGTCGGATGGACAACGATGAACCCTACGGGCAGGCGCGGATGACAAAAGCACAACCAAGTGCTTTCCAACTTTAATTACAATGGTAGAGAATTTAATACGTGGAAAAACTATGTGAAAAGTGTATGTTAAAGGCATTTCGGGGTTGCAGTCATGGGGTTATTTGTCTAGTCAAGTGAACATCATGAATTTGGTTTTATTTTTGATAATTTGGCTATGTGAATTATTGACACTCTATAGTCTCTGTATAGACTGTACTAACCATCTACTGGAGAATTTTTTTCTTCGGTATGTGTTTACGCCAACTGCAAACACGACGCGCAAACTGGTAGTGTAGGTGCTTGACGTGGAAGTGTTGTGTTGTGTTGTACTTACTCCGACAATGTGAAAAAGTATCCACAGAGTACAGATACGTATGAAGAAAAGCAAAGTTTGCATTACTTTTTATGTAAATTGCACAGGTGATGTTGAAACGCAGAAAATCAACTCAATCAAATTCCCCAGATGTGAAACACATTCATTTAACTTGCAACATGAACATGGAAATTGTAATATTAGAAATACGATTCTACTTGGCCACTGACCTAGTTCCAGTTTCGACTAGTGATTCCACATCATCTGTTGTATCTTCCTCGCGGCTTTGTTCCAGATTCCATCTTGTAACTGTGCGCTCGTCAACTGTGCAATTGGCCAAACATGACGGAGAGGCAGCATCATCACCATTTTTACTAATTGTAAGAACTAGCAATGTCTTTACAACACCTAAACAAAGCCTTAAGGTGCAATGAACATCAGACCACACATTCAATCTCCCATTTGCTACAGCATCTCCTTCTGATGACACAAGCACAGCATATTCAGAATGGACCAAACTCGGATGGTGACGGTAAGCAACGAAGTCCACGCCATACTGATGTCCGGGTCTTACAACCCAATTTTTCGTTCGAAGGTGAGAATACGCCTTGTAAAAGACAGGAAAAGCTGCCTTTTGGGATTTCATGTACTGCCAAAGCTCATGATCATCCTTTGGGTGTTTATCTTCGCCGGCTATCTTGAGGCATTTTAAAGAATAGCATAGGAAAAATGCCTCTTCCATGCCCAACTGAAACCAGTGCTTATCCTTATTGGCATTAACAACAGGATGACCAAAGTAGGCAGGACCGAGAAGAAGGGCTTGTTCTTCTTCTGCAGCAAGAAGTACGCTGCTCCCGGATAAGTTTCCCTGAGCATCTGATTGTATTAGAGAAGACTGAAGCTGCAATACTATCATTGACGTGGATTTGCAAGCGCTTTAGCTTCTGCGCCTTTTCCTTTCCATCTAGGCCCCATTCGACCTACAACAAGATCGAACAAAATATATAATTACAAACACGCTGAAGACCTCTAAAGGGACGCCCAGAATTCAGTTTACAAGCATTGCTCAATGCACCCCGAAAACCAACCTATTTCTGCTGCCAGCATTGGAATTCTCTCTTCTTAATTGCTATAATCAAATGTAAAAAATTGAAAACATAGATTGATTCAAAGTTGGCGATATTCTACACTAATCTTTTTTATTTTTGGTCGAAACGATATTCTACAATAATCTACGCTAAGCGGAAGAGGTAGGGTTTGAACACGGGACGTCGAAGAGGAAGGCCCTAACCAGCAATCAACCACTTGCAAATAAAAATTTTATTTATCAAAGAAAATATTAGAAACCCACCAGTTAAGCAGAGGGACCAGAAAAATTCTTAACCGAAAATTCGAATTCCTTAATGTTTTAATCAATTCTCGAAAAGCAGCAAAAAATAAGATGGAAAATTGATGGAAAATTGGAAAGCATACCTTTTCGTAGACGAAGAAGAAGCTCTCCTGTGGATGTGATTGTTCAAATAATCACAAAGCTGGCAGTTTATGCCCAAGATTCTGGGAAGACACACGTTTTGAGGAAAGGGTGGGCAGCCGCCTTCCAGAAGCCGGAAAGCCACTTGACCGGAACTCTGTTTGCCCACCCAGACTGACCTGAAACCCGCGTGAGACGAAGCAGGAAGCTGCGCGAGGAAGAAGAAGAAAAAAAATTTTAAGCCGACGTCGTTTTAGTCCCATCCCCCTTAAATGAAACTGTTCGTTTTGGTCTTCTGAGTGTTTATTTTTACTCGCCCTCTTCCCTTCTCCTCCTGTAACCCTGTTGTTTCCCTCGGTTCCAAAACAGGCAAACACCGTACTTGTTTTGGTATTGTGTACCTTAGCGAATCACAGCCCCGAAATTACAGGGACAAAAAAATGTCACGTTACTCCAAAAGTTTAAAGGAGAGATGGAAATGGAAAGTAGGAAAGGGATCCTCTACCGATCAATTTTTACCTAATCCATCTAGTTCGGGATTCAGGTTATTGAAATTTAATTTAACGGCTATAGTTATTATCACTTTTAAAGGAGCTCCCTGTTTATAGTCGTTGAATCAAATTTCAACAGCCCGGATCTCAGACTAAATGGATTAGGTCCGGATCCCTTTCTTGGAAAGTAACCGTTGAATTGAAACTTGATGAAATAAACCATTTCATCTTAAGGGCACAATGCTATCATCATAGCTAGCAAGTAACTTCAATCTAGCATCACTAATAAATGTTCATTCCGATGGTGTTGGAGCGGAAAACTTCGAGTACTCTAATTCTTCATTAACAAGTAATCTTGAACAAGTTGAGAAGTTTTAGACACCATCTTCGCTCGCCATCAATGAGGAAGGAGGGGAACCTACAATATAACACTCGACGCTTAAGTCAGTGTTTATTCAGAATGCTTGTAAAATATAGAACAATGTCATATCTCTCTCTTCCCTCATTCTTGTGGGATTCTAGATTCTTTATAGACATAAAATACTTGGGCTCTAAACCCCACTTTTCCTTCTATTTCTCCATGTTCTATGGAATGGGTATGAAGTTGCTTGATTATAGTTCCACTTCCCATGCGTGACATGCTAGTGGCTTGTTTAGTGGAGTAATTTTTGGCTCCCACAGAGGATAAAACAATTTCACTTTTCCTAATGCTTTTTTGATAAGACAATAGCATTAGCAGTTAGATGTTAGATTAGGAAGCGGACGCGACTTGAACTCACGCCGGAATGCAAAAGTACAACTCTTTTTCACCACTGTGGTAAATGGTCACTTGCCATTTTCTCTAAAACTTTTACTCTTCTTATTGTAGAGATGCAGCGGTTATGCACTTTTCGAATAGGGATTTATTTTTTGAAAGATCCTGGTGGGGCTATTTACAACTATCCAATTCCATTGAATTTAGAAAGAATATATAATCTAAGCTACTTATTAATAAAACTCTGTTTGTCAACCAAAACTCTTTGAAATTACTATTCTAACCCTCTCATCAAAGCTAAACAAAATTAAAAGACATGGCAATTTAGTAATTACATACCACTCAAATTTTCAATTTTTTACACGAACCTCACAGCCAGAAAAAAGTAACATATCCTATTTAAAAAATACAAAAAATAAAAAAAATGGGGGAGGTTTTTTTCTTTAAACCCACGTCTCCCACTTTAAAATCACCCCCTTAACCGCTTCTTCAAAGTTCAACATGCAAAGAGGATTGTCACGGTTGGATTTTTACCACCTGCAAAAGTAGAGATAAAAACACTTAAAATACTTGCAAGAGTCTAAAGTAATCGTAGTATAGTCGACTCTAGTAAGGTTGTTCTCCACATAGATTGAATGAATAATTTATATTACACCAAATCTTAATTAATTATTTGAAAACAAAGTTTGGAAAAAGATGATTTTATGACCTAAAATATTAAAAACGAATTTAATTAAAAACAATTAAATAAATTGGCAAAGTAAAGAAAACAAAAGAAAATAATTTTGAAAATCAATTTGAGCACTAGGGTTCTCTTGTTACTTTAACAATGCATAGTTCTTCTAATTACTTATCACTTACCGATGCATATTTTAAAGGTTAGGTTTTCCTTAAATATGTCCTACTTGGAACCTCCAACATTCAACGTATATCAAATATGCAACCCGTCCGTGTCGTCCAAATTGAACGTGAACAAGCAAGACTCATTAAGTTTTGTGAAAACCTTTTGAAAAACCATATAACCCTTAAGACATGTCGTCCATCCTAAGAAGTTACACATATTAACCACAAGAAACCTTAGTCAATTCCAGGGACAAACATTTGCCAAAATTGCATCAAACTTTTCTGAATATTCTAATGGTGGCCAATTATTAAGACAATTAGATAGTTTAAACCGGTGATTAATAATTCAAAACTTGCATGTATAATATCATAAGTAAATTGAAAAGAAACTACATATTCTTGCTAAGACTTGTGGCCTCGCCCTAGCAAACGAAATTAGTTACGAACAACCATAAAACAAAGGATAAATTACACAAAACTACCTTAACTATGGGTTGAACCACAATCTCATACCTCATGTTTTAAAAATTACAATGTCACACCTCATCTTACGAATCAGTTACAATGTCATACCTCCATTAGTTTTTGTCTATTTCTCTATTAAATGCTGACGTGGCTTGAGGCGGAGCTCACTCCCTACCCAATTGGATTAAAAAACTAATTGAATATTAAAAATTAAAAAAAATTATTAAATATTTTTATAAAAAAATGTGGGACCACCCTCTACAAACCCATCACCCTCACCCTTCTTTCCCAGTCCACTTGTCTCCCCCAACATTCATTCCTTCACGTGAATAGCGTGTGTGTGGAAGCATGAACTTCATCTATTTATACAACCATACATATGGTTAGAGATTCACTCGGTCCAACCTATTATCAGAAAGAGTGATAATCCCTCTCTTTACCAAGTTTAAGTCCCATCATGACTCTATAGATTAGTATTTACTCAATAAAGATTTAAATAGATCAGCTGCAATATATAAAACTCCACGACTCTTATCTTACTAAGGTTGTCAGACTCCTTGTGTTTCACATAATCAGTACAACTAGTTAAGTACCACCCAAGTAATCCAGCTGTAATCTCATTGTCATTCAAACAAAGTTGTGCAGAGAGGACCATGACTTGCATACGCATTTGTAGCGCATCAGGGGTCTTAACAAAGAATCACCGCACACTGCTGAGATTCGAAGTTTAATTGATTATTGAAGGGGTCTTAACAAAGAATTGACAAGGTACAATTTTGTGTTCATAGCTTGAAAAAGTCCTCAAATTTCAAAATAATTAAGTTCGAGTTCTCTTATAATTTGCTTATTATTCTTTGAA